AATATCTGCACTTCCTTTAGACGGAGGTGTGCTACAACTGCCATCATGACCTTCATAAAGACCTGAGGGGCCGTGGATAATCCGAATGGGAGGGCCTTGAATTGGAAATGTCTGTTGCCTACTGCAAACCTGAGGAAACGACGGTGGGAAGGGTGGATGGAGACATGGAAGTAAGCATCCTTTAGATCCAGCGTAATCATCCACATCTCCGGATCTAGGAGCGGAAGAATGGCCTGCAACGTTGTCATCCTGAACTGTTTGTATAGGATGAAAGAGTTCAGGTTCCTGAGGTCCAAAATGGGTTGGAGGCCTCCATCCTGTTTTGGTACCGTAAAGTAACGGGAGTAGAATCCCTTATGCATTGAGCTGATGGTACCGGCTCTATAGCATCCATGCTTAGGAGGGTTTGTACTTCGTCTAGAAGGACTGCGGAAGGTGGTGTGATGACAACATGGTAGGAGGAAGGGATTCGAGAAAACTCTATTAAGTATCCCATTTTTATTATTGAGAGGACCCATTGGTCCGACATAATGGACTCCCATATTGACAGGTACGGAGACAGTCATGTAGGGAGTCGGGAGGGAAGGTATGAGTCAAAGACTCTGTTTAGTGTTCTTAGCAGTTTTGGGTCTAGACAGAGAGGTAGACGAAAGCTTGGATTTTCCACCATAGGAACGGGGTGGACGATTTGGTGATCTTTGCCAGTGTGGCTCTGAGGAGGATTTAGACGATGGTCTGCCTGACCATTTTTGGATCACAATTTTCCCTTACTTGGCTTAGTAGGAGGTACGACCCCTAAGCTGCGAGAAGTTTTGATGCTTTTGTCAAGCTCTTGAAGCACCGCATTTGTGGGGAACTAAAAAGTCCATCCCTTTCGAATGGAAGGTCATTCACGGTGGCCTTGGTTTCTGGCTGTAAGGTGGAGGAGCGTAGCCATGCATATCTTCGTAAGGCGACTGCAGAGGTGAGAGGTCTTTGCCACTGCATCCAGAGAGTATTTGGATACATTGAGCTGGTGTTTCGCTACAAGCGTCCCCTCTGTTTGTATGCGTCTCGCTTGGTGTCTACAGTCATCTGGAAGGGATGATATAAATTCGGACATTTGTTCCCAGAGGGAATACTGATAATGTCCCATGCATGCTGCATAATTGTAAGTCTTGATACCCAGAGCTCCGGCGGTGTAAAATTTTCTGCCTAGAGAGTCGATTTTTCGTCCCTCTTTATCTGGAGGTGTGGAATGAGTACTCTTGCCCTTGGTTGAGGGCGTAACCACTAGTGAATTGGGTTTAGGATGCACGAAAAGAAATTCTGCCCCTGATTCTTGAATCTTATACAAATGGTCCAATCTCTTATTGAAGATCGATACCGAAGAAGGATGAGCCCAGGGGGCTTTTGCTGTTTGCAAAAGGACTGACGTCATGGGAAGGGCGACCACTGTCGAAGTATCCATTTGTACTATATCAAAGATTGAGTCCGTGACTGTCAGTAACGGCTGTATGGTGGGCAGAGCTAGCGTATGAGCCATACGTTTAATAAAGTCTCCATAAGGTTTCAAGTCCTCTGACGGTGAGATAGGGAGCTCGACCTCGACTAGTTGTTGCGGGGATGCTTCCAGCGGTGGGTGGGTACTCTCCTCATCCGAGTAAGAGCTGGGTGAGCTGGATGGGTTAGAAGGTTTGGAGAACGACGTTTGGAGGATCGGCATCGAAGGTCTAAGTTCCGACTGATCAATGGGGGTTTTCAGTGCTGACGGCTGAAGACTTTGATCTTTACCTGTCGGTCTCGATTGGGATGGTTTTATGAACTCCGGTGCCTGGTAAGGGTCTCGGTACCGAGAGATTCTGGACGAGGAAGACTGGCGATCACATTCCATGGGGGGATGAGGAACCCAGGGCATTGACCCCGAAAACGGGTAAGCACCGTATAGATACTGCCATTGGCGCTGATCCCATAATGTGGGTGGAATCTGCGTTGGAGATCGATCTCGTTCATCAGAGATGAACGGAGGAGATGGGACGACATTATGTGTCCTTCAATCTCATTGCAGGTTCTGGAAATCGGGTGATCGAGGAACCTGAGTCAAGTCCAGCTCCTGGTTGGAGTCTAGGGACTGGATGGGGCGTAGCGAAGGTGACCAAGGTGCACCTTGTGGCTGCCCTCAGCGGCTCCTCGAGAGCCTTTTTTGTGCTTCTTAGGCTTGATAAGCCGAATGTCCTTGCCCTCCTTATGTCTTTTAGAAGGAGTATGGGGTTTGGACTGATGTGCCTGAATCGGGCGTTTCGGCAGCTATTTTACGGCATCGATGGAGGTCGACGTCGAAGACATGGCGATTGTCGCTTCCGATGCTGGGATCGACATCGATGCATGTCCGGACGTCTCCTGAGATGAAGGTGCCACTGGAGAGAGTGCGGTCTCCATAAGCGCCACTTGCAGTCTAGCAGCTCTATTTTTTCTGGTCTGTCTGGAGAATTTAGAGCAATGTGCGCAAGAGGCAACTCGGTGCGCTTCCCCCAGGCATAAAAGGCATAGAGAATGTCCATCTGGGGGGGGGGGGCGGCGATCTTACTGCCGCATTCCAGGCACTTTTTAAAGAAACCCCACCGTGCGGCCATAGGCTGGGGAAAGGGGTGGTAGAAACGAAGTCCAACAAAAACACACCAACTAAAAATACTTTCCTTAACTAACTAAACTTAAATAGCGAAAGCCAAGAAGGCCCAAAAGTAAAGTTTTTACCAACCGAGGCGAAGAGAGTCCTACCAGCATGGAGGTCAGAAGAGAACTGGCGGGATTGTCGTGCCCCTCCCTTGGTCATGCGCAGTGGAGCCCGGCACGTGACCGGGGAGCAAGCGCGAAAATTCCTTTTGCTTTCCATTATACCGACCGATCGGGGTCAACGCAGGCGCACTATATCCCAGAGGTGTGATGCACAGAGACCCCGAAGAAGATCCACTGATTTTAAATGTTTATATTGTGTTTTTAAACTTTATTGTAACTGTTGAAATATGATGCAACTCGCCCTGAGCCCGTGCACAGGATGGGCAGGATACAAATACAAAAATAAATAAATAAATAAACCACAATACACACAGAGGCTATATGGAAGCAAAGATCTGTTTGTGAGAGGTTGCTGATAGACCTTTGGCTTGCATATTGTGGGGGCAGCTCTAATACACTCGTGCTTTTCTCATTAAAAATAGTTCTTACCATGCGTTGTAATGCCTCAGATTCATTCTGATCGCATTCCTAAAGCAGGCCAGTGCTTTCTCAAGTTCCTCCGTCAGAACAAATTCATGCCCTAGGAGAGTGTAGGCATACGCATAGTTTGGATCAACTTGAATAGCCCTCTGGAAGAACTTGATGGCGATGTCGTGTTCCCGTTGCAAACTGAAGCAATTTCCTGCAGCACACCATGCCTGGCAGAAAGCAAAGCAAAATGGTAGAAAGTAGCACAATATGTTTTCCCTAGTGAGGGAAAGACTGCAACAAATATGGATTCACTCATTTACATGGTAAGATTCTTGTAGTCAATAAAGACCTTTAAGCAATTTCAGACTTTGCTTTTCTACATCAGAGAAGTGAATCAAGAGACTAAAGCGTGTAGAGAATCAACACGGCCACGGCAGTTACCTCTGGCGAGTTTTTATCCATATCAGTTAAGTCTTTTGAAAGAACTGAAAGAGCCACATCTTTTTGCAGATGCCACAGTGTTGTTGAGTAGATTTCCATGCCTTCCACTCTGTAGTTTTCAAGCCTTCTTACTTCAGAGAATATCCTCTCGGCCTACGAGACAAACGAGCAAACCGCATTTCAGCCACACAAGCAGAGAAAGGGCCTTTCCACAAGATCATTTTGGCACAATGTATGAGCGCATGTTCTGTTCCCTCAGCTTCTCTCAAGGTTTTGTCGGTGGGCACCATTTGATTGAAGTACTCAAACCTTTTGTCTTTGGGTGCCACCCTAAATGGCATTCATTGCTTTTTCTATGTGGCATGGCATTGTAGATATCTAATGGATTTCATTTATGACACGACTGATTAATAAGTCCCAACTTCTCCCCCATATACACCCCCCACAGCCTGCTTATAAAAGGGACCTTTGGCAGATTTTCAAAGAATTCTTCAGACACTATGTCTTTCTCACTCTTCTTTGCTGGAGCATCTAGCTGGAGTTTTGTTCTTATAGCCTTGCTGAGTTTTCAGTAACTACTGCAACAAAAACTCATTTCTGTGCATTAGCAACTTATAAGATTGTAAAAGTAACTCTAAGACTCCTTGTGCACGTAACAAATAAATTAAAGGGAAACTTCCATATAGAATGAGCAAAGATTTAAAACCAACTTCCTATACTGTCTAACAGACATACAGGTTAATATACGGGCAGGTGAGAGAAAGTCATTAAAATCTGTATTAAAGGACCCTGGGTATGTATTTTAACAGCAATATTTTTGTACAATTTTCCAGCACACACAGCTCAGAATAAAATCCATTTCACCCCATGCTTACCTGCATATATTCCCCAAGCTCAAAGTAAGCTCTCCCAATTTGGCACAGCACCCAGCCAGTGTTGTAGTGGTGAGAAGGCAAGTGACTCAGGATATGAATTGCTTCTTTACAGTTGTAAGAACACAAGGCTAAATACCCTTTCCCCATGTCGCGAAGAAGGCTCATCAAACCTTCTAGGAGAAAAAAGCAGTAAGGACACAGGAGAACAAAACAGGTTCAGAAGAACCTACCTGACTTAAAAGTGCCTACGGCCCAGTGTCAAGAAACCAAAACGACAATGCCAAATACTCCCCCTCCCGCCCACCTGAAGCATTTATAAAATAAGAATGCCAGTGCGATCTAGTGGACAGAGAGCAAGCCTAGGGCTGGGGAAACTTGAATTCAAACCCCTGCTGTGAGGAAACACCCTCATTTCAATATGCAAGAAGGTGGTACATTTTAAAAATTATTTCTCCACAACTGTGGAATTCTCTTTCCTTGGGAGAGCATGGACATCATTTTAACTGGACCAGAGAAGACAAAGATCATGTTCAGTCCCATCTGGAATGTTTATGCCTTTCTATATGTTGCTGGGATAGCATAAACAAACTGCCTTATATGAATTTTTAGGAATGCTTCACACACCTGCTGCTGCTTTCTGTAACGTGAATGCCTGGATCTGTGGCGTTACAGAGGCAATCTTCCCTTCTGAAATGATGGACGAATCAAGTTTGGTGATTTCCAAACTGTCATTTATGTTTGGCTGTGTGATTCCTCCCTTATTGGTTTTACACTTTGTCTTTCGGTTTGCAATTTTCGGTGGAAACTTCATTTTTAACTTTTTACTATTCTCCTATGAGAGAAGAAACATCTGTAAGACTTCTTACCCTACAGCCAAAGAGGACAGTAATTCATCGTATTCAGACTGCATGTAACTGTGTCAGTTCAAAGCAAAAATCCCCAAAACAAAAGACACACAATACCTTTTTCTAGGACCAACCAAAATAAAGCATTCTATAAGCTTTTAAGTTCCCATCAGGCTGAATGATAAAAAGCTATAGAAGGGAGTGAGAAGACAAAAAAGGTGTTTTGGGCCCCAATCTTAAATCCACACATCTACATCCTGTAGTTTATGTGAGGAGTTCTTGAATAGACTGAGCAGTGCTTGACCAGAAAATCAGACAAACCTTCTTAGTTTATTTGTAGGTCACTTTCTAGGACATACTATTTTATTCTGAAATTAGAGCCACAAAAAATGGAAGGAGTAAAAAGGCCATGCAATACAACAGCCCACTACAAAGTAGGCTTTTCCAGTTCCCTGCTGACACCTCCCCCATCGACTCACACAATCCACAACAGAGTTGAACATAGAAACATGTGTTAACAGTCAAAGAGCGGATAGAAACTTAAAATAAACACATTAATACCCAGATGTTTGGAAGAATCTTAGATGGCTTCGGACTGCTCTGATATTTCTTGCAGTACACTTTAGCCATCCACAGACTTTGGATACGTTACAAGACATGAAGACCCACTTCCTATAGCACAATTAACTGAGTGACCATTAACGGGGTGACCCTAATAGCTTCCCACCCTGTATGTTTACCATACCCCTGCTAACCATCTCCCCTGGGGAAAACCGTAGTAGGGCTTTGCAAGATCATTTTTTGCACGCAAAGCAGTTCTTGCCCAACATGGGCTGGGTAACAAGCAAAGTATACATGAGGCAGGCAGGGAGGGAGGGGGGAGGGGGGGACGGGACACAATACTTTGCATTTATCCCTGGTTATAACAGCATCTGTTTATTCCGGGACAAGTGTGGGGCGAAAGCGGGGTGACCTCAATGTAATGTGGAATCAAAAAATACCCTGAGATAATTACAAGGGTGAACTTGAGTGTAGTGTAGAATGTAAAAATACCCCAAGATAATTACAGGGGTGAACGCGTGTGTTGTGTAGAATGTCAGTTCGGGGACAGGGTTGAACCAGGATTTAAGGTCTAGCGTGGGAAGGAAGGAAGGAAGGAAGGAAGGAAGGAAGGAAGGAAGGAAGGTCTCTTGTATTTACCAAATATTAAGCATCATCTACAATGGTAACATCTTCACCACACTTTTAAACCCATTAAGTGTTTTGCTTCCCATTCTGGACCTTATTCTAGCAACAGAATTCATTCCCCAGCTGTTCACCACCCACCAGGGAGCTGTCTGATCTTCAGAGCACCAGAAGAATCCCATTCGTCAAACCTTCTAGGAGAAAAAAGCAGTAAGGAGAACAAAAGAGGTTCAGAAGAACCTGCCTGACTTAAAGTGCCAGCGTCAAGAAACCAAAACGACAATGCCAAATACTACCCCACCCCACCGCCCACCTGAAGCATTTATAAAATAAGACTGCCAGTGTGATCTAGTGGACAAAGAGCAAGCCTAGGGCTGGGGAGGCCTGAGTTCAAATCCCATTTTACCTTTGTGGTAGAGCTATCGCTAGAGAACAGACGAGAACTTCTTCGAGGCAGCACGTTAGGTGGAGCAGCAATGGTCGGGCTCAATACCTGAGGTGTTGTACTGAAGAAAAAGAGTGGTTAAAAATTCTTGACTGTTCTTTATGGGAATTAGGAGAGGAGGCACATCCCACCCCGTCCTGTTCAAGGCAATGGAGAAGCCCATGAAATACACCAGGAGGGAATGTTTTATCCTAGGCACACAAAAACATTCCATACCTTGTCTGAGGGCCCGAGCTTTGAGTTTGTGCAACAAGAATTGGCGTTACTTCCCGGCTATTGCCGCTTTGAGAGAAGACAGACTTTGTTCCAGCTTGGCTTATTCTGGTGACAGTCTATATAAAAATAGACAATGTGGTTATGGGTTTGATACACTGTTAACAACCACACTATTAACAACCACAAAGTTTACTACTTGGGACACACAAGGTGTAGGATGCAATCTGCCAGCTGCGTTTTGAGTCCATTTGCTATACTAGAGGGTTATTTTCTTTTTATGTGAATTGTGACTTGTTTTAAATTACATTGCTATCTGCTCTAAGGTTTTTTATTGTGGAGGAGTGGAATGTTTATTGACTTGCTTAATTTATACCTGCCTTCCTCCCCAACAGGGATTCAAAATGGCTTACCTTGTTCTCGCTACCATTTTATCCCCACAACAACCCTGTGAGATAGGTTAGGCTGAGAGTGTGTGACTGGCTCAAGGTCACCCACCCAGCAAGCTTCTACAGTAGAAGGAGTTATTACAATTCCACAGGGCCTGAAAGACGGAGCTCTTCCACCAAGCATTTGACTGAGGTGCCGCATCTGATCGGCACAACATCGACCGAGGAACCAGTGCCCAGTAGTACATCTTTGGCCGCCTGCCTCTGTTTAGGTGCATATGGTGCCTGACACCAGTCTACATCGAATGCTGATCAGATTTTCTATGGTGACAATTAAGAGCAGTTAATTCGCCATCAGAGGACGGCGGAGGACAGGAGGGCCTGGCGTGATCTGGTCCATGGGGTCGCGAAGAGTCGGACTCGACTGTGCGACTGAACAACAACAAAATTCACCATCAAAACTGTAACATTTTATTACCTGTTTTAAATTTTTATCGTTTTATCCTTTTAAACTTGTATGATATTTGTGGATCTGTAAGCGGCCCCGAGCCTGCTTCGGCAGGGAGGGCGTTGTATAAATTAATAAATTAAATAAATAAGAGTGGGGATTTGAACCAGGTCTCCCAGATGCTAATTCTGACACTCTATCCACTACACCACACTGGCTCTGGCTAAACGTTTTAATCAATTTATTAATTTAATCAATATTTTTTATTACGCAATGAATTCATCACGCAATTCAGGGAGCTGCACGGTAAGCAAAAGATGGTATGTATGCTGATGTATAGTGGTCACCTACAGGATAACCACTCACAAATGCTACAGGTGACTGGACAAAGTCCTTCCCTGTTCACCCCTTCTGCCCAGGTAGCAAAACCCAGTACAGTAGAGCTGCTTGAGAAAAATCCCTAAGAGCAAACTGGCCCAATCCTGCGTGATTTTTGTTTCAGCTGGATGTTAGGATGCATCCCTTATCTTTACCCGAGAAAAAGATAAAATGAGGCTATTTCCTCATCGTCTGCTTTGTGGCAAGATGGTTGGTAGTTTGCCAACCATCTCAGGAACCAGGTACTTGTGTCCATGTTTGCAGTTAAGGGGGTAGGGAACGGCCATTCTGGTGTGTACAACCACCCAGTAACTTCGTAACGTATATCCACACCAGTCAGTGTAATCAGACCCGCACATTGCGTGTAGCAAAAAGCACTGGATAAGACAAAAGCTTTGGAGGGTTGGTGGGGAGGAAATCTGATAAACACAAGATGCATGTAATGAAATGTTTTTCCAGTTTAAAGCATCTTCCTTTCTCTTCTAAACCTGTTTCTTCATAAAGAAACAGGTTTAGAAGAGAAAGGAAGATGCTTTAAACTCCTCGCTGCTCTGGTATCAACATTTATCCTTTGAACAGGAATTCTAACTCTCAAGTTCTCCATATAGCCTTAGATTATTTCAATAATAAATAAAAACCAACAGTAGTTACCTGGAAATATTATTAGAAAGCAGAGCTTCTTGCAAAGATAAACCATGTTTTGTATTTAGAATGAAATTCAAGCTATGGTCCTTCGAGTAAGGGGGGGGGGGAATGATGAAATATTACATTGAGGCTATCTTCTCACAAACCTTTAGAGCCATTTGATAGAATTTCATATTTCCCCAACTAATTTCACATGCACACCAAAAATACCTTCTTAGAAGGGGCTCCTGGAGGTGGCACATCAATTACGGAAGAAGAATTTGTGCAGTTTTGTAGATAGGATCCATCTCCAGGACTAGGGGTTTCTAATGGCAAGATTCCGAAGCTGAGAAAACGTCCAAAGGGGTGGGGGTGAGGAAGGGAAGAAACGAAAGAATTTCACTGTCTAAATGGGAACACCATGGGCTATATACCTTCTAGACCTCCAGGGTGTCCCAACTTTAAAAATATGAAGGCAAGAGATAAAAAACAGTGATAAAACACAATCCGTAAGACATATAAACAGCAGCCCTTACAGTACAACCCTAAGCATAGTCAAGCCATTCTAAGTACATCAAAACCAAATGGTTTAGAAGGATATAATTTTGCTTAGGACAGCATTGCTGATTTTTTGTTTTTCAGTAATAAAAGGGCCACCACCTTTTTAAAAAAATCTGGGCTAATTTTAGAGAACAAAATACTGTAGTGTAATTACCACACTCATCAAGAGCATATGCAAACACTCCTATTAGGTACAGAGAACTAAAATATGCAAGTTAGCACCAGTGCTCCTGCTTAGAGATGCACCTCTGATAGGTAAATGGCAAATGTACTACACTATGTCCCACAAGAGTCTTGAGAAGTAGGTTAGACAGAAAGGAAATCTGACCTAGGCAACCCTTCCGCAGACTCAAGATCAAGCAGGGCAGGTGAACATAAGAACATAAGAGAAGCCAATGTTGGATCAGGCCAATGGCCCATCCAGTCCAACACTCTGTGTCACACAGTGGCCAAAAATACCAGATGCCATCAGAAGGTCCAGCAGTGGAGCCAGGACATTAGAAGCCCTCCCACTGTTGTCCCCCCCCCCCAAGCACCAAAAATGCAGTGCATCACTTGCCCCAGACTGAGAGTTCCTATCTATACCTTGTGGCTAATAGCCACTGGCGTGATTTGGTCTATGGGGTCGCAAAGAGTCGTACTCGACTGTGCGACTGAACAACAAAATAGCCACTGATGGACCTCTGCTCCATATGCTTATCTAATTCCCTCTTGAAGCCATCCATGCTTGTTGCTGCCACCACTGACTGTGACAGTCAATTCCATGTGTTAACCACTCTTTGGGTGAAGAAGTACTTCCTTTTATCTGTTCTAACCCGACTGCTCAGCAATTTCATGGAGTGCCCATGAGTTCTTGTATTGTGAGAAAGGGAGAAATGTACTTCTTTCTCTGCCTGCTCTATCCCACGCATAATCTTATAAACCTCGATCATGTCACCCCTCAGCTGTCGTTTCTCCAAGCTAAAGAGCCCCAAGCGCTTTAACCTTTATTCCTAGGGAAAGTGTTCCAACCCTTTTATCATTCTAGTTCCCCTTTTCTGCACTTTTTCCAATGCTATAATATCCTTTTTGAGGTGTGGTGACCAGAACTGTACACAGTACTCCAAATGAGGTTGCA